TATTTTTTTATATTTTATATTATATTTATTTTGTATTTTTTTATATATATATATATATATATATATATATATTTTGAATGTTAAGATCTCATAAATAGTTTTATTTAATTTTTTAGTGTTATAAAATTATGATATTATATATTTAATATTATTTATACATTAGTAATAATAATAATATTTTATTAATATAAATTTGAACATGGACCAACTAGTATTTAAATTGGTTCAATGAACGGTAATATTGGATTTTAGTTGCGAGCAATTTTTTTTGGGTTTTAGTTTATGAAACTTTTTTCATAAACAAAAAAAAATTGATATAAGGAACTAAAATGTTAACGAGAGGAAAAGTTCAAGAACTATAGGTAAAATTTAGCCAAATTTTAAGAGCCAAAATCAGTAAAAAAATTTGTTGAAGGACTAAAACAAAAATCCCTATTATTATAGTATTCGTGTGTTGTTTTTAACTGTATTTTTAATTTTTTTAACCATGTAATTAGTACAAAATAATTTATTGATGAATAATTTTTGTTAGAAAACTTAATTAGCTATAACACTATAAGCTTTTTTTTATTTTATTAATTATTGTCTTTTAATAAAATTATGCGTTGTGTTGACCTGAGGTGTAGTGTTGAGAAACTCTGAGAGGGTGTTTAATAAAAGAGAAATTTTTTAATACTCAAGGATCATGATTCCTAGGAATTACAAATCTAATTCCTGGAAATAACTAAAATACGTTTGGTTACTCATAAAGGTTCCTACAGAATTCTTGAAAATTAAAGATTTTCGTGTTTGATTACACTACTATATTCTTCGAAATAAAAATATTTTTTTACTAAAAATATCTTTTATTAAAATAAACTTATTAGATATATTTATTCACTGAAATCTTATTACAAATATGACATTAAACTATTTTTAAAAACCTAAAACTTATAGTTAAAATTATTTAAATAAAAAGTTTAACAAAAAAAACAAAGAAAAATGCTACATAATAATTAAAAAGGATAAAGCTATATATATATATTTATATTAATATCTTATTTCATTCAAATAAATAAATAAGTGTTAACAAATATCATTAAACTATAAAAACAAAACAGGATTTATAATATTGTTAAAATTAACAAGGTCAGAAAATAATAAAATACAAGAAAAATATAGAGAAATAAATGTATGGGAGGGAAGGAGAGAGGAAAAAGATAAATAAAAGGAGAAAGGGAGAAAGAAAGAGAGAGGGGGTGGAAAGAGAGAGAAGGAGAAAAAGAAATAAAAGGAGAAAAAGAAATAAAAGGAGAAAGGGAGAAAGAAAGAGGGAGGGGGTGGAAAGAGAGAGAGAGAAGGAGAAAAAGAAATAAAAGGAGAAAGGGAGAAAGAAAGAGAGAGGGGGACAGAGAAATAAAAGGAGAAAGGGAAAAAGAAAGAGCGAGAGAAAGA